GAGCACGTGGCCCCACACCACAGCTGCTCCCCCCGGGCCTCCCAGGCCCCTCCACCGCCCCCAGCTCTGCACACACCCCCACCCAGCATCCCCGGACGGTTCCGGCCCGTGCAGACCCAGGCTCCCCAGGCCCACCTCATACTAAGCTGTACCCCCCGCCAGGCTGCACTGGGGAGATGGGGCTCCAGGGGTGCAGGGCCTACCCTGGGGAGATTTGCACCCAGGACCCGATACCTAGAGCCCGCAGGCCAGACGTGAGGAGAGGCAGGCTTGGGGTGGGTGGGGCTCGGTCAGGGGCTGGGGGACAGCGGAGATGGGAGAGGTGGACGGGGACCTGAGGACACCTGCCGGCAAAGGCTCAGGGCAGTGGCCCCGCTGGGCTGCGGAGACGTCCCCCGCAGCCTGAGCCCACCTTGCCCCAGGCCAGCTGCGCTGTTACACATGCATGACCTTGCACAGCGGGGAGCGCTGCGACCAGACACGGCCCTGTGGCCCCAGCCAGCCGTTCTGCGAGACACTCATCTCCCACAGCCAGACCGGTGAGCCCCCACTCGCATGGTGCACTCGCCATGGGGGGCAGAGGGAGGAGGCCGTCATCCCACCGCCCTGGCATGACACCCCCCCCATGAGGTCAGCCCGCAGGGCGCCGCGCCCACTGGCTGTCCCTCCCTGGCTTCAGCCTTCACTCCAACGGCCCTGCCTCCCCCCAGAGTCCCGCCTCCTGACCACCTACTCGGGGTGGTGTGCAGACACTTGTCGACCTGTCACCAGGACCGTGGAGGAGACGCGGCTGACCGTGTCCTGCTGCCAGTTCACTCTGTGCAATGTCCCACCCTGGAACACCTCAGGAGGCTGGGTCCCACCAGGCTCTGCGGCCGGACGCCAGCCGGGTAGCAGGGCTGCTGGCTCTCATGGCAGCCCGCCAGCCATGGGCACTGCCGTGCTGCTCAGCCTCCTGGCCGGCCTGCCTGCAATGGGGTCCTGAGGAAGCCATCCCTGGGCTCCCGCCCACCTCCACCAGCGCCCGCGAATAAACGGGGAATTTCGTTAACCACCGTCTCTCTGGGCTCCCTTCACTCCCTGTCCCTACCATCGGTGTCTGACAGCAGGGACACCCCCGGGCCTGAGGTCCAGGCCTCAGTGGCTCTGCAGCCCAGGACCTGTGACCTCTGCTTCTCTTCCATCCACACAACTGTGGATCGGTTCGGCTCTGTCTTTCCCAGACGTGGGAAGGTGGTCTGGAGGGAAGGGGTCTAGGATAGGAGGTGCGGCCAACAAGGGTGGCCACAGAGGGGGGCCGGAAGGTGGGAAGCAGGAGGGTCTGTGATGGGATTGTCAGCCTCACTCAGGCCTCGGCCTGGTGGGAGGTGGGAGAAGGCAGGGAACCAGGCAGAACAGGCCTGTGGGTTCATGAGGCAAGAAGAGGAGCCGGGCAGTGGGAGGGGGCCCTGGGTCCCCTCCAGGCGGGGCTGGTGCCAGTGGCTACAGGGCACTTGGCTTCCTGACTGCACCAAGTGCTGCTTCTCCCAGCAGGTGGTGGCAGGGCAGAGCCCTGGAGTGGGAAGTTGGAGGCCTGGGCCACAGCTCATCCTGACTCAGGCCTCAGTCTCCCCATCTGAGCAGCACAGAACCTGGCTGAGAGGACCCCCAGAGGCCCATCAGTCAGCACTCCAGGGAGGGCGGGCCAGGCTCCTGTCACCATGTCCACCTCAGCAGGCTCCCTCCGGGCCAGGGATGCAGGCTGCAGATTGCTCTCCACAGAGGCAGGGTCTGAGGAGCCCCCAATGTCCACTCACCTTTCCTTTATTGGCACTACTGGCGCTCGTAAATTCTCCCCTCTGACACATGCCTTAAGGCCCTGCACAGGTCTAAGTGGAGAGCCCTCCACTCCCCCATGCCTCCAGACTGGCAGAGTCACCACACACCAGCTCTGACCCCCGCACAGCTCCTGCGTAGAGCCCGCCTGGACCGAGGCCAAGCCAGAGCAGGCACGCGCAGGCCTCGGTCTGCGACCACAGGCAGCAGGGCCTCCCCAGGGTGGCCTCTTCTCCCAGCCTGGGCCCTGCCAGCAGCTGGGCTCCCCATCCCCATGTTGGGGGGGCTTTTGCCTGGGGCTCCATTCTGCTCTGCCTGTGGCACTCGGGGAGCACCTGGGGCTCAGAAGTGGGGAAGGAGTTGAGCTGGGAGAGGCAGCACCCACCATCTCCCCCAGTCCCCCACAAGCTGGCTGTGCTGGCACCCACGTGTGCTCTGAATGGGAGAGGGAGTGCGGGGCGTTCTGCTCCCCGTGGAGGCTGAATGCTGTCCCATCCACCTGACCCGGGAGACACGGAGGCTCAGAGGTGACCGCGCTGCTCAAAGCCACACAGCGTGTCAGGGCCTGGGTCCAACCCCGGCGTCCTTCCAACAGCAGTCGGCTTCCATGGTGGCAGAGGAAGGGGTGCCAGGAGTCCTGGGGAGGTGCAGCCACATCGACGGCTGGCGCGTGGGGGGAGCGGATGCCGGCGGAGGCCCATGCGTTCCCAGGCCGAGTCCAGTCTGGGCCAGGTGGGTCAGAGGTGCTTGATGGCCAGCTGACGGTCACTGCCAAGACATTCCAGCCTGTCACGGGACCCAGCACACGAGGTCCATGCCAAGACAGACGGCGGAAGTCGCCGGCGCTCTGCAGCAAGACCACCTCCTCCTCCTGGTGCCTGGGCAGCGTCGCCCACCACAAGGGCCCCAGGGGCCACGGTCGCCTGTCTGAGCTTCCTCCAGCGGGGTAGCAGGACCCCAAGCCCAGTGACCCCAAACAAGCCGCGAATTCGCCCTGGGCCGGGGCCGGACGGCGGAGACGCAGGGGTCAGCAGCCTGGTCCGGCGGAGACTCCGTCTCCAGCCCTTTCCCAGCGTCCGGGCCCCTTCCCCGCATTCCCGGGCTCTCGACCCCGCCTCCACCTCCCGAATGCATTCCTCCAGCCTCCGCTTCCGCTTCCGGCTTCCGCCGCTTCTACTTCCGCTTCCGCCCCACCCCGCCTGGGTCCCGCAAGGAGGAGGGGGTGGTGTTCGGGCCACCGCGCATGTGCACGCTCTTAATCACATCTACAAAGTCCCTTTTGTCACTTAAGGTCCCAGGGGTTAGGACCGAGGTGTCTCAGCCCGTCACACCCTCCAACCGCAGACCCGGCACCTGTCGGGAGCGCACTTGGACACAGTGCTGCGATGGGACTGTGCAGGTAGGACCTCACAGAGGTGGCAGGGCAGAGTCTGGGGCCGAGGGCCACCCGCTGGAGGCTGGCTGGAGACGACGAGGGCCGAGGCGGCAGAGGGAGCCCGCCAGTCCGGGAAGCTGCAAGCTTCTGAGATGCTGGAAGGGAGGGCCGTGGGCGTGATGCTGGCAGGCCGTCGGGTGGGGCATGTGGTACCTGGGAAAAGGTAACTGGGTCTAGTCCGAGGAATCGACGTCGTGATTGGCCCCTGGGTAGGAGGAAAGAGCTCCACGCAGACGCGAGGGTCGTGCAGGACGAGGGGGACATATTCCAGATCCCCTTCAGGCATCACGTTGGAATGGGGGGTACTGCAGGTGACAGGTGACCAGCCACAGAGCAACCAGGTCTAGGTGAAGGTGTCACTTGCCCACAGGCAGGCCCAGCCCACCATCGCCTGCAGTGTCTGTCACCGTGCTGCCTCCCTGAGCCCAGGGCTGGGAGCCTTGCCCTGAAGCTGGGGTGCCAGGGTGGGGATGGGCAGTGGGGTGGTCTCACAGATATAGAGCTCATTACAAATAGCTGACCTGCTGTCTGCCAACCCACACCATCCTTATGCCTTGGGACAAAGGCCTGGCGGCATGCTTACGAAAGGTCACAGCCTCAAAGAAGACGGGAAGGGCCCCTGTATGAGGCCCTCTCTCCACTTCTTGCTGTTGCCTGACTCACAGCGACCCCATGCACAACAAAGGCTGCCCGTCCCCGTGATGGGCTGTGGATAGGATCACTGTGACCGCAGGGGCCTTAGCGGATTTTCAGAAATAGATAACCAGCCTTCTCTAACCTCTCACAGTGCAGACACTCCACTGAAACCTATACAGCATCATAGCATCACACAGGCCTCCACTGAGAGGTGGCGGGGGCTGCGCCTGGCGCATTGGCCACGAACTGAACCCAGGTCTTGTGTGTGGAAGTCTAGAATTCTACCATTGCACTGGAAAGACTTATCTGCAGCTTATATGTCATACTGCCTCTGAGAGTGGAGGGAGACCTGTGAAGGTAATGAACGTGCAGAAGGTTTCACTCATGGTTCTACCTCAGTCAGCGTGTAGGAACATAAAGCCCGTCCTAGAAAGAAGAAACTGGACCCAGTAGTCAGCAGGCAGGACCTCCAGGGGGACACGGCAGAGATTCACCCAGGGAGGAGTTCTGCAAATGAGGCACTTTCCGCCATCTCAGAGTTCACAGGGGACAGCAACCCTCGTGAGGGAGTCACACCTCATGCCCCAACACCTGTGTCACATGGGAGAGGGCCTTACAGGCTGCTGGTCACTGGCGAGAAAGCCTTCCAATACAGTGGACACCAGAAAGTGGTCCATCTCAACCAAATGCCATCAACACAAGAGAAGTGATTCAGACATTGCCCATGGAGAAAATCTTACAAATACAATGCAAGTGAATTTTAAAATTTAACTTAGAAAGCTTACAAGCGGCCGTCCGAGGCACGTTTGGTCTCTTTTCACCTGGAAGAAGAGGAAGGAGAGTCAGGAATAGGATTAGTGTATGGATGTGTGGTTAACTGCCTCTGTCAACTGCCTTCTTTGCCAGGAGATCAGAACTGCATGGTGCCCGGCTGCCATACTGAACTTTTGATCAAAGATTCCATAGAAGCTTCTTCAGCAAAAGGGAGAAAATGCAGAACAGAATTTCATGTTTTTAAGGACTCTAGACTTTGTGGAGCCATGGAGGGTGAATGAACCACTGACAGTATTGCCCTGAGATAAAATTCAAACCAAAAACACTCCCGCAAATCATCGTAAAACCCAACAATCGTTTAGCTTAATTAGTTGAAAAGGGCTGCCTTGGGCATTACACGCCTTTAAGAACTGTTCATACGGGATGAACTTGACATCAGCAACTTGAAAGATTAGATAGGAAGCTCCGGGAACAGTGAGTTTGTGTTAAGACGGAGGAACAACTCAGGAAAGGAGGGTGAGGATGTTGCCTCCCGAAGACCGTCATCAGTCTCACGGAACGGAGAAACTTCGGAATTGGTTTGTTTTGCTGTGTGCGTTCTCAATAACAGAATTCATACAATTTAAACAAAAATCAACTTAGGTAAGTTAAGGTAAGACAAGGATTGGGGCCCAGGGCTGGGGGCACAGCAGAGGGGCGGCCAGGGAGGAGCCGAATGGGAAGGGTTGTAACCAGAAACGCGAGCGTTGGGTAAGCAGCCTGAAAGTAACAAGACCAACTCCGAAGTGACCGCACAGCAGCAGGCAGACGGGAGACACCGAGGGCCCTAGGTCCGAGAAGTCCCGGAGCGCCTGGGGAAAAAGCCCGGGGAGCGTCCGCTGAGAGTCCACCGAGACATACTGGAGGGTGCAGCCCAAGCCTCACAGCTCCCACCACCAGGGGAGGGACCGCTCTGCAACCGGGCCTGATGGGATGTGGGCGGAATTGGGGCGGGATCTGTTTGGGGGCGGGGCCTGGTGGGGTGAGGGCCGGCCTAAGGGGCGGGACCTGCAGCAGGAGGCAGGCCTTATTGGGAGTAGAGCAACGTCTGCTGGGGGCGGGGACAGATCAGGGGCGGAGCCAGATGGAACGTGGGTGGAGTAGGGGCGGGGCTGGCCTGCGGAGGGGCGTGCCCTTGCAGGACTTGGGCGGGGATATGGCTGATTGGGAGCAGGGTGGGGTCAGCTCAGGGGCGGGCCCATAGAACGGGGCGGGATCTTCGGGGGAGGGGGAGGGGTCTGTGGGCGGGGCTTTCTGACAATAGCGGAGGCAGGTGGGTCCGGCCT